ACTACTACTACTACTGCTACTACTACTATTACTACTACTTCTACTACTACTACTACTACTACTACCACTACGACTACGACTACTACTACGACTGCTACTCTTAATATTACGACTACTACTACGACTACGGCTACGACTACTATTACTACTACGACTACAACTACGACGACTATTACTACCACTACTACTACTCTTACTACTACTACTACTACTACTACTACTACTCGTGCTATTACAATTATGATTACTACTACTACTACTACTACTACTACTACTACCACTACTACTCTGACTACTCCGACTACTATTACCGTTACCCATACTACTGCTATTCTGCCTGTCTCTACCATTGTTACTACTATTACTTCTACTGCTACCGCTACTTCTACTACTTGTTCCACCACCGCTACGACTATAGTAGTGTTACTACTACTACTACTGCCACCACCACTACTACTTCTACTTCAACTACCACTGGTACCTATATAACTACTACTACTACTACTACTACTACTACTGCTACTGCTACTGTTACTACTATTACTACTACCTACTACTACTACTACTACTACTACGACTACTACTACTACTACTACTATCTTTACGACGACTACTACTACTACCACCACCACTACTACTTTTACTACTACTACTACTACTCCTACTACTACTACTACGACTACTACTACTACTACTACAACTACTACTGTTTCTACTACTACTACTACTACTACTACTACTACTATATTACGACTACTACTGCTACTACGACTACGTTTACTACTTTACTACTACTACTACTACTACGACTACTACTACTACTACTACTACTACCACGATTACTACTACTACTACTACTACTACTACTATTACTACTACTACTCCTACTACTACTTCTACTACTACTTCTACTACTACTTCTACTACTACTACTACTACTACTACTACTACTACTACTATTACTACTACTACTACTACTACGACTACGACTACTACTACTACTACTACTACTACTACTACTACTACTACTACTACTATCACCACGGTTACCCCTTCACTTCCCGAAGGTCACCAGAAGATTGCGCTGGCCTTACGGCCTGTGCCGCCGACCCTGGAGGCATCGGCTCTCGAGGGAAACGGGGGGGAGAGGGCGGGGAGGAGGAGGAGACGGAGGAGTGAAGGAGGAGGAACAGGTGGGAGGAGGAGCAAGAGGAGCATGAAGATGCGGAGGAGAAATGGAAAAGATAGAGAAGGGGGAGCAGGAGTTAATGGATGGAGCAGGCAGGGACGACGAACACGTGGGGGAGGCCGGGGAGGACCAGTGAAAGCTGTCAGAGAGGGGTGAAGAAACAGGCGCGGATGATGCGGGAGGAGGTTTTCGGGAGCAGCTCTCGTTTCAGGGGACTACAACACTGGGGGCAGACAGTTCATGACATTTGTGAGTGCCTGGGGTCGCAGGAGGTGCGACGGCGTCGTCGTCGTCGTTGTCGTCGTCGTCCGTCGTTGCCGTCGTCGTCGTCGTTGTCGCACTCGTCGTCGTCGTCCTAGGCGTCGTCGTCGGCACGAGCATCCCAAGGACAGAATTTGACACGAGAGTGGCGTGTTGAATCCTGTCCTCGTGTCGGCGTCGTTGTCCGTCGTCGCCGTCGCACCCGTCGTCGTCGTCGTTGTTGTCGTCGGCACAAGGACCCCAAGGACAGGATTTCACACGAGAGTGGCGTGTTACATTCTGTCCTCGTGTCGTCGTTGTCGTCGTCCGTCGTCGACGTCGTCGTCGTCGTCGTCGCACCCGTGGTCGTCGTCCTTGGCCTTGGCGTCGGCACAAGGACCCCAAGGGCAGAATTTAACACGAGAGTGGCGTGTTAAATCCTGTCCTCGTGTCGTCGTCCGTCGTCGTCGTCGACGTCGACGTCGCACTCTTCGTCGTCGCCCTTGCCGTCATCGTCGTCGTCGTCGTCGGCACAAGGACCCCAAGGACAGGATTTCACACGAGAGTGGCGTGTTACATTCTGTCCTCGTGTCGTGGTTGTCGTCGTCCGTCGTCGACGTCGTCGTCGTCGTCGTCGCACCCGTGGTCGTCGTCCTTGGCCTTGGCGTCGGCACTGGGACCCCAAGGACAGAATTGAACACCACAGTGGCGTGTTAAAGTCTGTCATCGTATCGTCGTCGGCGTCGACGTCGACGTCGTCGACGTCGCACCCGTCGTCGTTGTCGTCGTCCTTGTCGTTGCCGTCGGCACCGGGGCCTCCAGGACAGAATTTAACACGAGAGTGGCGTTTTAAATTCTGTTCTCGTGTCGGTTTCGTCTTCGTCGTCGTCGTCGTCGGCGTCGGCACGAGGACCCCCAGGATAGAATTTGACACGAGAGTGGCGTGTTAAATTCTGTCCTCGTGTTGTCGTCGTCGTCCGCGTCGTCGGCACAAGGACCCCGAGGACAGAATATAACACGAGAGTGGCGTGTTAAATTCTGTCCTCCTGTCGTCGTCGTCGTCCGTCGTCCTCGTCGTCGTCGTCGTCGTCGTCGCACCCGTCGTCGCGACGACGACGCGTCGTCCTTGTCGTTGTCGTCGGCACAAGGACCCGAAGGACAGAATTTAACACCAAAGTGGCGTGTTAATTTCGTTTCGTCGTCCGTGGTCGTCGTCGTCGTCGTCGACGTCGCACGCTTCGTCGTCGCCCTCGTCGTCATCGTCGTCGTCGTCGTCGGCACAAAGACCAGAAGGACAGAATTTAACACGAGAGTGGCGTGTTAAATTCTGTCCGCGTGTCGTCGTTGTCGTCGTCGTCGTCGACGTCGACGTCGTGGACGTCGCACTCGTCGTCGTCGTCGTCCTTGTCGTCGCGTCGGAACTAGGGCCCCAAGGACAGAACTTAACACGAGAGTAGCGTTTTAAATTCTGTCCTCGTGTCGGCGTCGTCGTCGTCGTCGTCGTCGACGTCGCACGCGTCGTCGTCGTCGTCGTCCTCGTCGTCGTCGTCGTCGGCACAAAGACCCGAAGGACAGAATTTAACACGAGAGTGGCGTGTTAATTTGAGATGCTTCTTGGAACGTCTGATGGGCTTCTCAGGTGCCTCTGTCCCACGCGCTACCCCCCTCGCTACCCCCCTCGCTACCCCGCCTCGCTACCCCCTCCCGGGACCCCCCCTGCCCTCGCGCGGGGAAGGGAAGAAAGGGAAGGGGCTTGCTTTTGATTCAGAGGCGACATTGCGAATCCGGGAGGGCGATGTATCTGACCGAGAAGCCCCAGGAGGACGGCGTATCTGACCCAGGACCCCCCTCGCTAACCCCCCTCGCTACCCCCCTCGCTACCCCTCCGGGACCCCCCCCCCCCGCGGGGAAGGAAAGAAAGGGAAGGGTGTTCCTTGTGACCGAGGATCCCCAGGAGGGCGGCGTATCTGACCCAGGACCCCCCCTCGCCCCCCCCCCCTGGGACCCCCCCCCCCCGCGCGGGGAAGGGAAGAAAGGGAAGGGGCTTCCCCTTGATTCAGAGACGACGAGGAAAAGGAACGGGACCCCCACCTTCCTCGCGCGGGGAAGGGAAGAAAGGGAAGGGGCTTCCCTTTGATTCAGAGACGACGAGGAAAAGGAAAGGGCAAACAACGACGAAGCTGCAGGGAAACGGGACAAAGGAACGACGAGGAAGAAGCAGCAAACAACAAAGCCTCTTCCACACGCCGACAGGGTCGGCGGATTTTGAGGCCTCCCGAGGAAAACATCCCATTCCTACCCCCCGTGCATACAAGCTACTGGGACGATGGAAGTGTTACGCCCCCCCGGGCCCCGAATTTAATTTTGCTCACCCTGTGAATTTCAGGGGCATTGGGTTAGACCGGGGCGGTCTCGACACCATGGTGCCGCCGCAAGGCGGCGCCCCTCACACCCGTGCAAGAGACATGCAACCATTCCTTTGGGAGCCTTGGGACGGGGGTTCATGCAAACCAGGGTCAGCCAGAGCGCCGGATCTTGCAGGGTCTTGCAGAGCCAGGGGTGCATAGCCTCGGGATTGGGTGCGTGATCGTGTTGGATCCTGCAGGATCTTGCAAGATGCTGCAAGGCCTGACTAACCCGGGTGTGCATTGACCCGGGTCAGTCGCCCCCGATTTCTATACCGCCCTCTCCCCCCACCCTACGGACCCCGGCCCCAATGCGGAGTCAGCCGCGGCCGGCGGCGGCAGCTCTCGGACCGCACGGCGCGCGCGCGAGCCTCGAGATGGAGGGGCCCAGGGGAGGACGGACGGCGCACGTGAGGTGCTCTACGTCAATGGAAGTCTGGGCAGTGAAGTCCAAAGCTTGACCGTGGAATTCAATATTCCAAGCAATGTGTTCTACGCGGTGTGTTCTACGCGGCGTGTGCTACGCATTATGTTTTACGCATTGTGTCATACGCCACCTGTTCTACGCAGTGTGTTATACGCAGTGTCTTCGACGCAATGTGTTATACGCTGTGTGTTCTACCATAGCATTACATACTTTTCAAGGGTTGCGCAGGATTGCCTTACGGAGCTTGTCGAAACCAGCCTGGGCGACGGAAGCCGACGGGGCTCTTTGCGCCGATTTTCTGGCGTGAGCTTCCCGCACAGTGATCGTGCGCGGGCGCCCGCTTCCCCACGCGGCATACCACGCTGGCGGCCCGCGGTAGCCGCGGCGTAAGGCCGTTCTGTCGTCCCGCGTAAGACCCGTTTGTGTTCGTCGCTCAGCTTGCAGTGGCACTGGAGTTGCCTTATGGGCGTCGAAGGTGGGTGGAGACTTCCGAGCCGTCTGAGAAGGCCCGCCCCTTCTCATTTCCCCGCTGGTTTCGCCGCCGAGACGAAGCAAAACATAAGTTGTTGGATCCGCGTTGGAGTCCCTTGGCGGCGCCTCCGGCAACGCTCTTGGCGCGCTCCGCGCGCCAGGGGGACGGGGGGGGTGCAGCGTCGATCCCAGAAACCCGCGTGGACCTCCGAAAGTGCGCGCGTGTGCCGTTTGTTTTCCAAGCGCTGCCGCGGGGGCTGCCCGCGAGGTCGTCCTCGGCGGCAGGGGCCAGGGCGGCCGCATCGACCAGCTCAACCGGCCCATGGGCCTCGCGCTCGACGGCAGCGGCGGGCTCCTCGTCGCGGACAGCGGGAACCACCGCGTGGTGCGCTGCGCGCTCCGCCCGCCGCCGGGGGAGGCCGCCGCGAAGTACCTCTCCCACTCGGCGCCGCTGCGGCACACGGGCTGAGCGCACCTCTGCTGGGGAGGAAAGGCCCCTCCGACCCCGATACCTGGCGTTTGCTGGGCGGCACTGGGCATTTTCTAAGCCTTGCCCCGTTGGATTCCTCCCTTGGGCACGTTAGCCAAACGGCGTCACGCGTCGGGGTGCTGTGAGGGTGGATCTGTTCCTCTCTACCTCTGCTGGGCGTCGGGGTCCTACGTGGCGAAAGCCCTGGCGAGGCCCCGGTCACCCCTAAGAGCCCGGGCAGTTTCTTGCCGAAGGGCCCGAGCAGCCTCAAGTGCCTGGTTAACCTCGTTGTTGTCCTCGTCCTCCTCCTTCCTCCATCTCCTCCTCCTCCTTCCTCCTCATACTCCAGATACTCCTTTTCCGCACCGCTTTTCTCGCACCCCCTCTTCCTTATGAATAACTCCACGAGGTCGCATCAGCAGACGTGTCACTAGGGCGGTGCCAGCGTTTCGCCCAAGGCTGCCTCAACGCTCACGGTCTTGAAGCCTGAACTCACCAACAGCTACACAAGTTGAGAATGGTCTGTCTTGAAGATTATTGACGCGTCGCGTATCCCCACCAGCGCGTGCTCGTGTGCGGGATTTAGGCCGCTGCTTGTTAGCCACGTTTCTTGACGGCGCCTGGCATCCCTGCGCGCTCGCGAAGAAAAAGCATCCCCACCAGCACATTCACAAACGATGCCCACACGAGTTGGAAAGACTTTTGGGAGGAAGTGTCGGATGAGGAGCAGCAGGAGGAGAAGGAGGAGGAGGAGGAGGAAAAGAAGGCGGAATAAGAGACGAGGGATGCCTTCGCAGATCTTTTGCTGACGAAGCCTCTTGGCGCCATCTTGGGGCCTTCTTTGAGGCATCGGGCCCCCTTGGTGGAGACATGTTGGGACTTTCCTGGGGCTCTTCGGAAGGGTCTCCTGGCACTCCGAGGGGCCTTCTTGGGGCTTTCCATTCTTGACGCGTCGCGTACTCCACGCAGGCACGTGCCCGAGCTTGCGGTGCGCCGGTCAGTTCCGCTTCACCCAGCCAGCAGCTGCCGTCTGAGTGGGCCGGCCGGCCTGCGCCTGTCCTAGCTAATTTGCCTAGTTCGCGTCCCAGATTTTGCTTTCGCTGTCTGACCGTCGTCTGGTGGCCGCGACCGAAAACGAATTCCACGCAGCTCATCCAGGAACGATGCCCAGGGGAGCTGCCCTATCGGGGGAGCGTGGCACATTTTTTGGGAGAGCTCGCGGGGCCTCTGTGGGCCAGAGGCCTCTTGGATCCCTCTCGAAGTCAGCCTTGGGAGGTCAGGGGGTCGCTGTGGGGGGCCTTTGACCAGTCCGGATCGTCATCTCCGCCGCTCCAACAGCCTTCGGGCCCCCCCTGGCCTCCCAGACGGCACAGGGGCCAACCTGAATTGTCAGCCCCCCGTGAGCCGAATTCAAACGTCGCCATTTTGGGGGCCTCGGGGCTGGCGGAAGTAATTAGTCAATCGTCAGCCCCGAATTCTTTTCTGAATCGTTTGATTACCTCCATGAAGCCCCTCACAGGAATGAGACTAGAGAGCTTAGAAAAATCAACGCGATAAACCACCTGCGCTCAGAGGGCTGGTGGGGCGACCCCCTCTCGGAGGCACAGGAAACGCCTCTCGGGGCCCTTTTTTGAGGCGCTCTTGGGGAGGGGAGCCTCTTGAAGGCCTCGTCTCGGGCCCCTCTTGGGGCTCTTTTGGGCCCTTCTTTTGGGGGGGGGCTACGTGGAGGCCCCAGAGGCCCATCGGGAGCAGCAAGTGAATGAGCGACGCAGGAAAAAGGCGGCCGACTGCGTCGACATTCGCATGGCCAGGATCGAGGATTCGAGGGCCAAGTGGAGCTCCAAAAGCTTATGTCTATGGCCAGGACCAGGGATCGAGGATCCGCGCGTGATTCTTTCCTTTCAGAAATGGCCAGGATCGAGGATTCGATGGCCAAGTGGAGCTCCAAAAGCTTATGTCTATGACCAGGATCGGGGATCGAGGATCCGCGCGTGAATCTTTCCTTTCAGAAATGGCCAGGATCGAGGATTCGAGGTCCGAGGAAGCGTGGTCCCTCCTCCCGGGGCTCCTCGCCATCGCGTGTCAAGGTCCCCCGCCGAGGTGTCGGCCAAGAGAGCACCCCCGAGGAGGCTTGCGGCCCGATGACGGCGACGGCGACGACGGCGACGGCGACGACGGCGGCGGCGGCGGCGACGCCGACAACGACGACGGCGGCGACGACGGCGGCGGTGGCGGCGGAGGCCGTCGGGCCCCGCGCCGAGGAGGTCGGTCCCAGACTTCCAGCAGCGTCCGAAGCAAAAGGCAGGCTGCGTTGTTGTTCAAAGCATGCGGGTGGGATGAGGTGTTTCGGGCTGGGGCCGTCGAGCGTCTACTCGGCACGACCGACATGGGCACGGAAAGAATGGGTACAATGCCCAACAGCAGTTCCGGTTCATTCGAGACAGAAGGCCGCCTGCCCAACAGCGGCCGCTGTTGGTTTGGGGCAACATTTGTTGTTGGGCATTGTACCCATTCTTTCCGTACCCATTTCAGACGTGCAAATGTACCGCGGACGGCAAACGTCTCCCCTGGAAGGGGTCGAGATTTGTGTGGCCCCTGGCATCGAAAGGTCCCCCCCCGACAGCGGAGGCGTGGTGTTCGATCGGGAACCTCCCCCCGTACAGTCGGACCGAGTCATAAGATCGAGGTCGGCGCGGGGAGGGTACCCTGATGTTCTTCTTGTTTGTTGGACGGTCTTGTGCGTCCTAAGAGGAGCCCTTGGATGTTCTGCGCGTTTTGGCCGGCGGAGGGTTTCATGTTCACGAGTGATGGGTTTCTGTCGGGGGCCCCCAAACGGGGTGGTGACCACACCGTGTGGTGAGTCGGTGGGGAATCGGGTTCACCGCACGATTTTGGGACTCGGGTCGTTCTCCGAGGACGTCTCGGGCGACTTGGGCCTCCGAGGTCCCAAGACCGTGCGGTGACGGACCGTGCGGTGAGGCCTTGGGGGATTTCGAGGTCACCGTACGGTCTGTCACCGCACCTTTTCGGGACTCCAAAGTCTGGCCTAGGCCCGACTGCATGTGCCGAATTGCTCGCCTCGAAGACCTCATGGCAGCCGTCCTCGGTACGGAGAAGGTCATCCGAGAAGGTCAGGCGGCATAATTAAGCATAAACGTTCGGAGTTCCGCGCGGATCTCTTGGATCGGCGCTCGGCCTCCCTCTTTGGCGCGCGGTGCGCGCCCGGGGGCTCCGCCGGAGGCGCCGCCAGGGGCGCCCGGCGTCGATGCAGGGAAGCCGCGCGGAGCTCCGAGCGTTTATGCTGATGCCGCTTTCTGCTCGTCTGGGTCAAAAGTGGGCGCCCCGGACCCGCCCCAAGCACGCCCACGCCTCCCCCCCCCACCCCCCCTGGACCCTGGAAGTTTGACTGTCTTTAACTTGTCGTCCAAAGTTCGCCCGTGGGGGCACATGCCCGACCTAAGTGCAGGGGGGGGTCCAAGGGCGGGGGGGGTCGGGGAACCGCCACACCGGTCTCGGGGCGGGACAAGGGCGGCGCGAACTCTTCGGGCGTGCCGGCGCGCGGTGGGCGAGCGGCGTCGGCACAGCGATAATGATGGTACACGCACTCCATTTGTCGGCTTGCGCGCTTGCCCGAGCCAGCGAAAAGATGCGCGCCGGTGTCGGGTTCCTGCGTGATTCGATCGTCCGATCCCGGCGGCGGTCAGGCATCGACTCGTGCCCACCTCAACGCCCAGGGCGCCCCCCCTTCGAATTCTTCCTATCCGACCTCTTCCCCCCTCCCTCCTGAATCCTCCGACCTCCTCGTCCAGCCTCCTCCGTCATCACCGTCATACCCCTCCTGTCCCCTCCTGCCCCCCACATCAGGTGCAGGCTCCTCTAATCATATTCCTGCCCTGATGCCTTCTCCGTCCTCCTTAGTCCCGTCCGTCCTCCTGCGTCCGTCCTACATCCTCCTCCTCCTCCTCCTCCTCCTCCCTCCTCCCTCCTCCTCCTCCTCCTCCTCCGTCTCCTCCTCCTCCTTCTCCTCCCCCTCCTCCCTCCTCCTCCTCCTCCTCCTCTCCTCCTCCTCCTCCTCCTCCTCCTCCTCCGCCTTCTCCCCTCACCCCACCAGGAAACTGGGTCCCCTGGTCCCCTGACTGGATTTGAGCGTCCCACAGCCATCGTTCCACGTCCTCATTCTCACATCCCTCCCGTCATCGTACATCCTCCTCTGTCCTCCTACCCCCTCCCTCCGCGTCCTTCCTTGCCCGTCTCCTCCTTCGTCTTCCTCTCGGCGGCGAGCGAGGGGGGGAAGTGATGAGAGGCGGGCCTTCTCAAAAGGCTCGGAAGTCTCCCAGCCTTCTGAGAAGTTTTCTAAGCCTTCCTGGAAACACACAAACAACCTCCCAAAGGTCGGAGGGCGTCTGAGAAGCCACGTTGCCTTCTGAGAAGGCCTCCTCCTCCTCACTTCCCCACCTCGCTCGCCGCCGATCCTCCTTCCTCCGTTCCTCCGTGCCTCCGTGTAATCACCTCTTTCGACCCCTTCGCGTCCCCTCGTCATCCCCGTCCAGCTGCTCCAATGTGCCCACCTCCACCCCGAGGAGGGGGGGAGCCTCCACCATGCGCCCTGGACCTCCTTGACGACCCGACTTGCCCGAGTGGCAGGCGCCTGGAGATCTCGACCCTTCGAGTTGCAGCTCCTGGAGGGTTGAGGTCGGCATCAGCCCTGGCACATGAGCAACGGAAGAAAACAGGGTCGTATGCGCCGACATTGGCGCGTAAGTTGCCCGCGTAAGCTCGCCCTTGAGCGCCCTCGTCTCCAATGTGGCTTGCCGCACTGGCGGCCGCGTCAGCCACCGCGTAGGGTCGCTGTGTCGTCTCGCATACGACCCGTTCTTGCTCGTCGACCACATGTCCTTAGTCGAAGTCCGGCCGGATCTCGACTAGTCACGCAAGTCCTGTCCGGCTCAATCCAGCCCCACCTGGCTTGACAGCCCACTGATGGGGCGCAGCTCCCTCCTTGAAGTCGCCCCCTTCGAAGGAAGGACCTTCCAGAAACAGTCTCCTGACTTGTTCAGGGCTGACCTGCCACTCCGAGCCATGTTTGCGCTGACGGTACCCCGGAGGGCCCAGGATGGGAGCGACCTTAGCTGGCACGTAACAGGGTTCAGCGCAAACGGGGCTCAGCCAGAGCGCCGGATCCTGCAGGACCCTTCAGAGCCAGGTCCTGGATGACCCAGGCTTGGGATCCGCTCGCGGCCCTTAAGGTGGCCTTACATTCTGGCTGAGCTGGGCTTGGGCAGCCCCCAAACATTTGCATCGCAGTTTGTTGTTTCCACTGGCCGAGCCGGGTTTTCGCTGAACCAGGTCACTTAGTCCGCGCCCGACGACGAGTCGTCGAGAGGGAGGAGAAGCTTCCAGGCGAACCCCTCTCAAGGCCCACCCCTCGGCGTGCTGCCGGATGAGCCCGGCAGCGTGTTGGTCCCCAGGCCCGCGACGTCGTGACGGTTCCCCCGAAGTGGCCTTGGCCTCAGGTGCCCCCAGCTGCCCTCGCCCTGTTGGAGCCCCTCCTGCCCTTCTGGGCCTCGTGAGGGGTGCTCTCCATGCCATCCTCAGAGCCCTGGCGTGGAACCCAGGAAGTCTCGATCCATTCTCTGGGTTTCTGTCGACGGCCCCGGGGCCCGGCGATGGCACCCAGAAGCCGAACACTGTTCCAAGCCCCCCGTCGCAATCGCTTCACGACAGAAAGGGGCATGGGTCGTCGTGATCCTCGTCGCCGTCGTCGTCCTCCTCCTCGCCCTCCTCCTCCCTGGTCCTGGTGTAGCCCCTGGGATTGAGCCACAGGGTCCGAGGCCTGAGGGGGAGGGGAGCAGTTTTGAGTGTTTCACTGCTCTGGGGCACTCGATGGAGCAGGTGGGGCCGTACATTTTTTTACTGCTTGTGGGTCCTATTTGGCTCATCGTCTGTGGCCGAAGCTGCGCGCGGTATGTAAGCCACCAGCGTCAGGTTCCCTGCCCCAGAGCGTGAGGAGGTCTCTCGCGAATATCCGTGAGGGACTGCACCCCAAGACGGGTGTCAAGCTGGAGGGAGGATCCCCAGCTGAATCGTTTTCGTTCATATACGGGGCGCAGTCGGGCAACTAGGCCGCGCTCCTGGTACTCGATACCTCGATACCTGCTCCTCCTTTCCTCCTCCTCCTCCTCTTCCTCCTCCCCTCCTCCTCATCCTCCTCTTTGCTCCTCCTCTTGCTCCCCCTCGTGCTCCTCCTCCTCCTCCTCCTCCTCGTGCTCCTCCTCTTGCTCCTCCTCCTCCTCCTCCTCATCCTCTTTGCCACCGCTGGGATGATGCGAGCCGGCCTCCCCGCCGCCGCTCGGGGGCAACGTGTGCCACGTGGTTGAGAGTGACTCCCGGTCTCTTTCTCTCTCTCTCTCTCTCTCTTTCTCTCTCTCTCTCTCTCTTTCCTTTCTCTCTCTCTCTTTCTCTCGTTTTCTCTCGCTCTCTCGCTCTCTTTTTCTCGTTCTCTCTCTCTCTTTCTCTCTTTCTATCTCTCTCTCTCTCTCTCTCTCCTCTCTCCTTCCCTCTCTGTATAAACATATTCCTATATTATATCTGCATATACTTCTGTAATCATGCATCCTGCACGGACCTTTCCTCCCCCCCCGGATGGCCCACACACACACGCACACACACACACACCACAAAATCCCAGGACCCCTCTCGGACGGGCTCCCCAAGACCGGGGGGCAACTTCCGAACAGCCCCCCCGGGCGTCCCAGGCCTCCCCGGCCAGCCAGCCGCACTCCTCGTTGACGCTCTGGACGGCCCCGAGAGCCTCGCAGCGACCCCCAACGCGGACAGGAAGGCCGAGGACGGCCTCCAAAGAGGCCCCAGAACGGCCAAGAATTACGACCCGACAGCCTCCGAGGAAGGCTCCCAGGAGACGCCCAAGAGGACCCCGAGATGCGAAAATCGATGATTTCCTTTTGGGTGTTGGACAGATTTTAGCGTCTTCGCTTTTTCTGGCATCCTGTACACCACGGAGGCCCCGCGAGCTACCGAGATCGCCTCAAAGCAGCCCAAGAAGCTTCCGAGACGGCCGAAGACGGCAACCACACGGCCGACGACGGCCCAACATCAATTTCAGAGACGGCCCCTAGACGGCCGAAGACGGCAACAACACGGCCGACGACGGCCCAACAGAAACTTTAATAGACGGCCCCGAGACGGCCCAAGAGAGCACCAGGACGGCCCAAGACGGCCCCCAAACCGCCCTCGAGGATCCGAACACGGGCCAGGAGGGCCCCAAGACTGCGCACGAGGCCCCCCCAAAACGCCCCAGCGGCCTCCAACAGACCCCCAGGACGCCCCCAAGAGGCCACATACACAGCCTACCAGGCCCCCAAAGTACCCCCAACAGGCCCCCAAGATGTTTCCAACAGTTTTTGAAAATGCCCCCCCAGGAGGGGTCCAAGACGGCCCAGTGACGAACGCAGGTTTGACGCCAAGACTCTTGCCCCCTGGCGGCCCTGTGCCGGACGCAGCATGGACGCCAAGGATCCTGGAGTTCCAGGGGACGGACATTCCCTTTAGTAAGCGAGCCGGTGACACAAACAAATTCGAACGCCAAGGCTCCCAAGAGCGAACAGCAGTTTTTATCGCCAAGGCTTCCAGGAGCAGGCGGTACCATGTGCCCCGAGCGCCCTCCAAGAGGGCCCCGAGAAACCGCGAGGCCTCCACGCGGCGTTCACAGACGCCTCGGCACCCTCGCTATCACGACCAAGACCCCACTCACGGTTACCACCCTCGCCCTTTCAAGATTGTCACCGTAACCTCCTTTCCCCCAACTTCCCGACAGCCTTTTTGCGATCATGATTTCAGCCCCGTACCACAGCGATGGCATCAACCTCCATCAAGGTACGCTGTGATTGTGGCCCCTCTCGGATCGTGACCTTCAACCCCCTCGCGCTAATCTTAAGTCGGGCCTGTCCCTCTACAGGGGGAAGACTCAAAAATAGTCAAAAAATAGTCCGGGGACATTTTTTGACCATTTTGGGGCATCTTTTGAATATTTGTTGGATATTTTTTTCGTCCAAAATCCCCCTGTAGGGGGACAGGCGCGACCTAACGCTAATCTCACCGATCACTTTTCCAAACTATCAGCATCGTGGGTCCGGCCCAGGCCCCGCTTGGCCATGGCCTTCACCCCGTTAGCGGCCATGACGTACACCCCGATCGACCTCATAGCCGTCACCCCAAGAGTGGTAATGGCATACCCCGCCATCGTGCTCCTCACCTTCGCCCTCGTAGCAGCCCTGCCCTTCCCTTCATGGCATGAACATGCCGATGGGTTCCATCCAGCCAATTACCCGCACCCTTCTCGTGGTCGTGGTCTTTCCATACCGATGCGACTGTCGGCAGACACCCGGCAATGCTTGGACGCAGGACCAAGATCCGAAGCGAAGTGATGCGAGTCCCCAAGTTTTGTGTTAATATATAAACATATACGTGTATGTGCGTGTGTGCGTTGCTCCATCTCTCTCTCTCTCTATCTCTATTTATTTTTCTGCCTCTATCTCTCTCTCTCTCTTTCGCTTTATTCCCAGACACATCCTTACACGTATTTTATCAGTGTATGCCCACGCGAGT